ATAAATACACCGGTCTTGCATTTCAAGCTGGCTAATTTGAGACTCATACTCAAAATTTTTCCCCAATATTGGTTCCCTCTCTAGTTTAACTAGTATTTCTGTACATATATATTCTCCCTTCTTAAAGTATGTGATTAAAGTTAGTAGTTATAACAACCAGATTTCAAGTTCAGCAGCAGACAACTTAAATGTTATTTTGTAATCTGTTGTTTTCCAGATACAGAATAAGCAAGAAATGTTTTAAAAGACTAGCTTAAGTTTTAATTAGCAGCAGTGCATTCAAATTAACTCCAGCTTTAATCATTTATAAGATCAGGGTTATTAAATACCCTGCTAAATTAAAAAATACGGCTGTGCAAAACCCTCACAGTAACTTGTGGTAGGCTTTGAAAACCTTGTGCTTTTAAAGACCATAACAATAACTTACAAAACAGCTCGAACATCCGATACGTGCAGGAGGGTCCTGACCCTCGAGAGATTGAAGATAATCTCATGCAAAGATAACCGTTTCTGTCTGGCAGACACGCAGTATTGAGCCTGCATTCACATGAACACATCTCGCTCCTGTATCAATAATTCCTGCGCTGCCCTTCCAAATCAGCATGTCAGATTGCTGAAGCAAGAACACAAACAGTAGGAACCCCTCGCAGTGTATCCACAGAGCAGACATTGGTATGCATGGATGCACGCAGCCACACGTGCCTGACGCACACCACCTCTAAACACACAAAATGTCCATTTCTAAACCCAGCGCTGGCTTCTCTGTCCGTCTCTCACTGTCAAAGTAAAATGCCATCCATCATATAGGATGCATGGTGCAAAAGATTACTCACATTTCTCCCCAATCACGGCCAAATTGCACTGGATGGCTCTCATATTTGGGAGATAGCTGCGGCGTTCTCTTTGCATGCAAATGACAAAGTCTTCCTCTCAATTTGCTTTCTCCTTGACTCAAAGAATGTGATGAGAGAGTCACAGATAGGGCGCTGAAAGAAGATAATGCAAAAGATGCCACCAGACTGGCAAAGAGACATGTAGAGATACTGGGGAGAAATTTATAGATTCACAGGGGGAGATAAATAAGATCCAGCCCTACTTAATGCACATCCAGTGACACAGTAATAATCTGAGAGATTTTAATACTTCACCATTATGTCTTTTCTCAGCTGAATCAAATTCAGTAAAAAACTTGGAGTAGCTGCTGAGACTTCTGACTCATTTTATCATCTCTGAAAACTAAACTTCTGTCGGTAATCACTCACTTGGAGTCCCTCTGATCAGGGATATTTTTGTCCATCTAAAACTCTACACACAAGGCTCAAGCAGGGATTAAATGACTCCCCTAAAAAGTCAAACTGTCAAACATGGCCGGATTATGAGACAATGGGCCCCTGGACACAGACATGCAGAAGGCCCCATCACCTTTTCTTCAAAGAAGCCACACTTACAGACTTTACAGTTGATAAGTCTCTTTTTGTTGTTGTTTTCTATGTCTTTAAAGCCATGACACATCTCTCTATGGGTTTGTGTCCCTTTGTGGTAATTTTGTGTCTCTCTGTAGTTGTTTTTCATCTCTTTGTAGTTGTTAAATGTCTCTTTGTGGTCATTGTGATTCTCTTTACAGTTGTCTGGTGTCTCTTGTTAGTCATTTTGAGTCTTATGGTCATTTTAAGTCTCTTTGTAGTCATTTTGTGTCTCTTTGTGGCTGTCTGCCCTTTTCATAGTCCTTGTGGGTCCCTTTGCAGTTGCTTTGCATGTCTTTGAAGTCCTTTTGAGTCTCTTTTTGGTCTTATTTCCTTTATATTTCTCTATGGTTATTTTTCGTCTCTTTGTGGTTGTTTTGCCCATTTTTGTGGTCCTTGTTAGTCTCTTTGTGTCTCTTTGTGGTCATTTTATGTCTCTTTGGTTATTTTATGTCTCTTTGTAGTTGTTTTATGTCTCTTTTTTGTCCTTTTGCAGTCTCTTAGTGGTTGTTTTGTCCTTTTTTGGTAGGCCTTGTGAGCCTGTGGCTATTTTGCATCTCTGTGGTTGTTTTGTGTCTCCTTGCAGTCTTTCTTAGCCAGTCTTTGCCACTTTGTGGTCATTTTGAGTCTCTTTGTAGTGATTTTGTGTCTCTTTTTGGTCTTTTTTGTCTCTTTGTACTCATTTTACATTTCTCTGAGGCCATTTTTAAACTCCTCTTGGTTGGCACATGTTTATTAACTGTTGATTAACATTTTGCAGATGAAGGCCAGAGGGGGCCCCTGACACTTTGGGTCCCTGGGCCTGTGCCCATGGACGCAAATGGATTTGATTAACAGATCAGCCAGCTTGACTGCATTGAAGGAAATTTCCAGTTTATTGCAACTTCTGTCTTATTTTTCTTATGGAGACACTCCACTCTCAGTAATTTCTGCATATGGGAGCTCAGAATCATTGCTACAGGCAAGAAACACAGGTGGTCTGACAGGTTGTAAACAAGCCAACAGTTTATCCAGAACATCGCAACCACTTCATTTGAGGGCAGAAAAACAGAGATAGTAATTTCATCATTTTACAAGAAATCTGTGTGCATCTTTTCTATTCCAAATAAGTCTAGCTTGGGACTTTTGTTTAGCACGGTTTTCTTTTCAGAGTTGTCCCTGTGTGCCCAGATCTTTGCAATTAACATGGTGAGAACAATGTTATTTTTACAGACAGGAACCATTATCCTTTAACTCCTTACCACTGCTCAGTGAGGAAACTGCCTGGAAATTAAAACACTGGAAAATTAAAGCAAAGGAACACACTCCTGTCACACACTGGCTTCCTGGCAGCTTCATGGATCCCTGATAATAGTCACATCTTAGATTGCCTTTCTGAAATGAAACACTTCAGGTAATTGCAGGCAAATGAAAATCTGTCAACGCTGTAAAGGCTGTGTAAGTGCTCCGAAAAACACCACAGAAACCTCCTTCAAAAAAAGAGAAACAAAACAAATCAAACGCGAGGCAGCTGATTTTGAAACAGCTTCCAGCAGCCCACTCTCTCTGCGGCTAATGAAATATCTAATGCACTTAGTTTCCTTTAGTTAGCACCTGCCTCCTTAGAGGCATGTTCCTCCTCTCCGAGTTAAATTACTTGGTCTCAATGGAGCGAGACAGAGCGCAGTGAGTAACAAAGAGAAGAAGTCAAGTGTATTTTCAGGAAAAGGATGACGAGCTCATGCTGGAGAGCCGAGGTGACGGATGATACTCTTTTTTTCCCCTCAAACCTGGCTATGGCTGTATCTCACAGCAACCTGAGCAGACAGTAACAGTATACTTACAGCACTCGGCCTGTAAAGCCACCGTAACTACTTTCCAAATCCCTCACTTTCACTGTGCTGTGTCTGGTAGCAACAGCTCAAAAGTGCATCACAGCCATGCCATCTACCAAAACACTCTGTGGAGGCATTTTCCTTTTTACAATCCTCGCTCTTTGTGGAGTGAATTATACAGCTGCGAAATAGACGTCTAGAGGTTGGAGGCGCCGGGCGAGGGCGTGCAGTTAAAATGAGGAATTGTGAGGTGCATTTCTGTGTCGGTAAAAATGCCAGATCTGTATCTGATTTGCATGCTTGTTCCCGTCTCTGGATTCTCTCTCATAAAGGCCTTTCTATGAGTTACTGGAAAAGTATACTGTAACTTGAGACTGTGGAGCCAAATAAATAATCGAGAGAGTGGTCACATGGTGAGAGTCAAAGGTGGTGCAAGATCATAAATCTACTCCGAGTAAAAAGTTGGGAATAATTGCCTTGTTGACCTGACGGCTAAAACAGGGAAAAATACAGAACTCTCACTGCTTGTAATAAATCAACTCTGTTTTCATTTTCTTAACCTTCTTCTAATTAAATTTGAATGATTATGCAGGTACTTGACGAGGCGCAAGAGGACTAAACATTCACACTGCAAACTTGTACAACTAATAACAAGAACAGCGAAAAAAATTCAGTTTTTGTTTTTATTCATACTAACGTGTCTGGAATTTATCCTCCTATCTGAGAGCATTTCGGACCAAATTTTAATTATAATCCGGATGAAAAGACGACAGGAGTTTATCCACAAACACAAAAAACCTGATAAGATCCTCTAAAAATGCAGTGACAATACATGCCATACAATCTAAATGCTTCTTTTAAATGAAATTGTTTTGGGGGGTTTTTTTGGTGTAAAGATACTGATGACACCAAGGGAGTTTTGAAACGGTTCGCAATCCTTTCATGAAACCTTGTCATTCGAAGAAAGCAAAACAATTACATAATCAGAGAGTTAGACTGGAATAATCAAAGGAAATCCATAAGAGAGTGAGCGCTTATGATCGACGCCTGCTGTCATTAGATTGATGAATTCTATTGATGTCATCCATCAGCGACTTCATCAAGAAGAGTCTGCTGGGAGGAATCGATCTGCGCATGTGTGCAGATGACTGTTTAGTGTTTGGTAGGATGGCAGAGAGCAGAGAGGAAAATGAGTAGATTGAATATATTATGATGCCTCATATCTTCAGATTAACCCTTCAACACTTGGATCGGCATCGGTTTTCTTGTGCTGTGTTCAGGCGCCTTTCACGTGCATTTAAACCTCTGAAACCTGAGAAAATTGTTTTGGATTTCTAATGGGAAGATAGAAAAAAAGGCAACTTGGTAAGAAATTTCCAGCAAATTACAAAAAAAATAGTAAAAGGTGACAAGAAAAAGACCTGGAAATTAGCGGTGTATGTGTGTGTAAGTTATTTTCTTGTTTGCCTTTGTTTTTTACTTCTTTTCATTTTATTTTCAGACCATTTTCAAGTACCATCTTACTCTTTTCTTGCTAATTTTTGGGACATTTTGTGAAGTTGCTTATTGCCTTCTTCCCAAGTTTAAAAAAAAGAAAAACCAAGCCAGTTTGCTCAGGTTTTAGAGGGTCAGCATGGAATTCTCATTGCTGTGGCAACATGTGCAAACTTTGCATGTGTCTGAGCAGTTTTGTTAACAAAGTAAAGATACCCAAGTCACTTACCGAGTACACCGAGCCGGTAGTTCATGGTCACCACAATCACGTTGCCATAGGCGGCCAGGACACTAGCGTCAAACATGTTTCCAGTGCCTTCCATGTAGGAGCCTCCATGGATAAATAGCATCACAGGCTTCTTCCTGCGGTCACGAATATCTACGCACACAAAGGGAAGAAAGCAGCAAAAAAGAAGAAAGTCAATAACTGTATTTACGCCTCTCATATTCTCTTTGATCACATATTGTGTTAGACGATAATATACTGAGCAAACAGCAAATTGCTCGGCTGGATGAAAACACAGTCCTATATCAGAGCCTAAGAAGTGCACTGTTGCCTGCAGCTGGATGCCAGCTCTTAAAAAATGAGCTTGAGGTAATTTAGATTTCAGGCAGTGATTTTAGCAACGGGCAATAACAAGAGACGCCACTACAAGAATCTAATCGTATGTTTCCTGGTGATTAAAGCAATAATGCTCGGAGAAAATCACTGGGTAGTGTAGCATATTAGAGCTAACCTGTATATTACTGCCTCTGACAGTCTTTATTTCTCACTGAGGCCCAAAGTGACCAACACTGATGCAATCCCAAGCACAGTGCACGAGGAACTGCATGTGAAATTGATTCCACCCGTGTGAGGTTATTTACTAAATTGAAGCACAAAAACCAGGGCAGACACGGGTAATTAGTTAAAACTGAGAATGTACAAGGACAAAACATAAACAGCTCTTTTGCTGTGGGAGCCCAAAGTGTTGGTGTCAAAGCTCACCCCAAAGAGCTCTCTGCCGCAAAGAAAAGATGTTTCAACACTGTGTAAAAAGGCACTCTGGGACGACAGAGCAAACACACTGAAAGCAACTCTGCACCACAAGTGCAATTTACAGGTAAAAGTATGACAGGGGGAGCTGTATTAAAGCCAAGGCTACAAGGGAAAAAGCCAATGTCTGAAGAACATTCTGTGTGCAACCAACAGATAATAAAAGGCCACTGGCTCTTAATATATCATGTCTGCTATGAATTTCCATAATTTTCTCATTTTATTTTGCACATTGGAACTTGGAACTCCCATAAATGCAAATCGCAACTTGCCCTGAGCTGCGGGGACAGCTATATCAACCTATTTCTAGGTCAATTACCCTGTGGGGAATCTCTAGAAAAACACAGTTTTCTTGGATGCTATCATTTTTGCACTGGCACAAATTGTTAGTGGATCCTGCCTTCAGGTCAAAATGAAAAGATAAGTGAAAAGTTCCATGTGAAAATGTTATTTCTACTACTGGAAAATATGACAAAGTTGAGGTTATGGGCCGGTTCTTACAAAATATAAACTCTCTCTGGTAAGCACTTTAATCCAAAGAATAAGTCTTAGATTGTTAGATGTCTTCAAATAAGTGATTTCACTTAAAAGGACAGTTCATCTCATAATCAGAAATTCATACATTTCCTCTCTTACCTGTGGTGCTATTTATCAATCTAGATAGTTTTGGTGTGAGTTGCAAAGTGTTGGTCTTGTGGTGCTCAATGAGTCAAGAAATAAGTTTGAAAAAATCAACAGCAATGTCTCTCTTCAGAAATCATGACCTGGGGTCTCATTTATAAAACAATGTGTAGGATACATACTAAAATGTACGTACAGACAAAAGCCAAAAACGGTGGCGCCAACAAATATTCGACAATTTCTACAATCAGGCTTCCACCCCAACTGCGTCGCCAATTTCCCATCTCCAAAATGTTGGTAAGCATAGGTCAAAGTTTCTCCCATCAAGTCTGTTTTTACAGATCACAACTTTTGTGTGGAGAGTGGCATACGCCTCTTTCAGCATTTATAAATGAGACTCCTGGTCACTCAAGACAATCCACAGATGGGATGTGGAAACTATTTTCTTTCTACTAAACTACACCTGCCAACTGTATCACCATGCAGAAGGAAGCGTGCATCTACAGCTAGCTCACCTAGCACCACTGAGCTAGCTAACGTTACAGCTCAGTCAAGGAGGACGCCATTAATGTTTACATCACTAGCATGAGCCTCTCGTCCATGAGTAGATGCACTCTTCCATTTGCGCTGTGATACAACTGGCCCTTGTAGTTAGGTTGAAAAAAAGTACTTCTTAAGTGTAATTGCTCACAACAAGGTCTGTGGATTATTTTGGGTAAAAAGGTCTTGATTTCTGGAAAGAGACATTGCTGTTGAGTTTTTCAAATGTATTTTTTTGGCGCTTTGAGCACCACAAGCTGAGTGCCATCTAGTTCCATTATACTGGAGAGATGACAGACGTCTCTACAGCCGATATCTCCAACACTTAGCAACTCACACTAAAACAATCTAGACTGATAAATAGCGCTACTGGTAAGAAGAAAAATATGGATTTTTGATTTTGGGCTGAACTGTCCCTTTAAACTTAACTTGAGACTTGTCTGTTATCACTTATTTTCTTTGTATAATGGAGTTAATCTATTTTTTAATGCTTTTTTCTTGAACATCATTAAAAAGAGTCAAATCACTGTGGGGTCATGTTTCTGCTTCAACAACTGTTTACTTACTTAAAAAAAAGAATATCCTCTAAAATATTCTGTACATATGAATATTTTGGGGGAAGCTGAAGGCAGTTAGTTAAACTGAATCATGACAACAAATTCTAGCTTCACTCTTTCAAAATTCATGGGAGACATTTCAGAGTCAATGTCAGATGCTTCAATATACGCCTGCTACTACAGTGCAGTGTGCATGCAGCCTGGTCCCTGGCGGGCCCTCGTTGGCCTTTGAACCAGTCTCCCAGCTGACTGAGAGCAGCGATACTCCTGCCTGCCAGGAGCCTACGGTAGCATATGGCACACAAGACTTAGAACTGTGGCACAGTGACAGCCCCTGTTGGCTTCTGTGTGTTTGTGTGTTTGTGTTTGTGTGTGTGTGTGTGTGTGTAGGCCTGGGGATATGAAAGAGCAGTAGTGCAGAACAACCACATAAATAACCACTACAGCATCTGTTGGAAGGGAAGAGAGATGGAGGGTGTTTGGCTCCCTGTGAAACCTGCTTACACACACACACACACACACACACACA